ACACATGGTGCACGTGATACCTCCAATGAGAGTAGTCAGAACAGAAGAGTGAGTTATCATGGTAATTCCAATATTGGAGAAAGACGCCTTCCACCACTCCCTCCATCTGCGATTCAGCAGCAACATCAACATCCCCACCACCGCGCCCCTTTGATCTCCCAAACCATAGCCAATAACCGCGCTCGACAAGCGCAAAACCACGTAAACTTTGGCTACGGATCTTTCTCCGGCACCAGTCCGTTTGGCCAAGCGACATCCACGCCTGTGCCTCCTCCTCTGCAGCCACAGCACGCTCAGCCACCCAGGCCTAGAAGACAGATTCCCGAAGAAGACGAATGTCCCATCTGCGGCGAAGAACTACCACCAAAGGGTCCAGATGGTGACGATGCGGAGAGAACGCAGCACATTGAGGAATGTATTGCTTTACACTCTGCTTCCCCTGGTCCTACGGCGGCGTTGAATCGAACGCAGACGCAGAATAGCCAGAGTTTGCCTACTCAGCGGACGCGTGGTATGAGTAGTGCGGGTGCGAATCTCAATAACAATCATCATAATAACAATGGCGGCGAAGGGGCTAGTAACTTGCAGAATCGAATGAGTCATGCTGCTAGGGGCATGTTTCCTTATGTGGCGACGGAGAAGGATTGTGTGGATGAGGAGGGGAGGGTGGCCGAGTGTACGATTTGTCTCGAGGATTTTGAGGCGGGGGATAAGATGGCTAGGTTGGTTTGTTGGTGCAAGTTCCATGAGGTATGTTTAATCTTGAATGAAGTGTGAGATGCAATGCTAATGGGAGAACAGACTTGTATCAAGGAGTGGTGGGATAAGAAGGGACGGGGGGCTTGTCCTACGCATCAGTTGCAGGAATAAGGGGTTGTGCTGTTGGGTATTGCACTGTTGGTTGCAATGGCGCATGGTGGCTTCCTATAGATGGGGTCTGGTTCTGGCGTTATTTGTGGTATACCCCTCCATCATTCTTTAGCATCTGGTATCTCGCAGTAGTTATAGATCGCCCCTCTTTTGGAACGTGGTGGCGTAGCATAGTTGCGGATAACATTATTACTACACTCATTATATCTGGTGGTTCGATGCGCGTTGGTGACATTGTATCAATCTCCGTTTCTTTTGCGTCAATACTGTGTATTGTGATGTGGATATCTTGATATGGGATACAATTTGACAGCTGTAGATGGGATGTGTTATGCGCGGCGTTCTTCCCGCTCCTTCCCCGCGGCTGCCTAGAGGTCAGCCAACAACCCAGCTCTCACTGTTCACGGCACTCACCTCTCTACAAGCACATTGTCCGGTAACGACATGCTTTTTTCATGCTTTCGATGTCTTCGTTCAACCAATCGAGACGACATTCGCGATTCTGTTCATGTCATGTCTTCTCCAATTAGCGATCAAGCGACGACGGACTGCGCGCATGGAGGCCAACTTCTTGAGTCGGAAACACAACAAGACAGTTGCGCTGCGATATATCCACCAACTCAAACAAGCCTAGCGAATCCAAAAAGAGAAACATCCAAACACGAGCCTCTCCCAGTTGACGAACAATCTATACGTCTCATCACGATTGAGCCTACTTTATCACAACCCGACGGACTTATTCAGTGTTCTATGTCACACACCAGGCTACTGGGTGCCCACTACACATGTTTGTCGTACAGATGGGGAGATCCTGAACCCCGTAAGCTCATTCTCCTCAATGGAAAACAGGCTCTCATTCAGACAAACCTTTTCGACTTCTTGGACACAGTCCATTCGACGTACCGAGATCCAATCTGGATAGATGCTCTTTGTATTAATCAAGATGACTCAGCGGAGAAGAACCATCAGGTTTCTCAAATGGGCGAAATCTACTCGGGAGCTCGGTGCGTTCACGCATGGCTGGGCCGACCTTCAGAGCCGCCGAATGGATGTAATAGTATACTAGAATATCTGAACCAAGAAGTATACGATCGAATGAGAAAAGAAGAAGAAGAAACAAAGTGGCCTGGTACACTACACAAGCCTCTCGAAGAAGACTTGAAGGCAGTTGTACAAGCTTGTGTCATGAACAAAAAGGTCCTCTTTGGATGGTTAACGACAAACATTTACAAGAACAAGTATTGGCAGCGATGCTGAATCATCCAAGAGATCATCCTGGCGCGCCATGTCGTTGTTCGGTTGGGCTCCTACACAAGCGAAATCTCGCAGCTCGTCGAAGTCGCTGTCCGATCGAATATGCGGCAATTCAGAGCAAGTCCCTTCGCTCAGTTCTCAGTACTCAGCATTGGACGCAGCAACATTATCGGCAAAGGTCTAATCACGCTACTTGCTGACTTCTCAATGGCAAGATCCACTCTTGATCAGGATCGCATTTTTGCTTTCGTCTCACTATGTCGAGAGAAGGCAAGGATTGAGATCGATTACACGAACTCGGTCGAGCAACTTGTCTACGAAACCTTGACAGTCTGTCAGGGATCTTTGTGTTTATGCTCAGCCCTTGTCGTCTGTTTGACTCTCTTTGGTCCAAAACCTGGGAATGAATGTATCTTGACTCTCCACATTGGCCTCGAGATTGATGTGCGTGGCCTTCGGTCTAGCTACTGGCAAGAGGGGCAGACATTCCAGCTTGATGAAGACAGGGAATCAGCACACCACAGAAGAAACGTAAGCGTGAGGCAAATCAGCTCTGTGAAACAGTACGATCCTCGACATACATGCTCTCTCATACCAATACTTCTACGGTATCTCTTTGGTGGTGCTATCGTGGTTCGTCTCTACAAAGATTGTCCTTCGCAATCTACGTACAACACCAAGGAGGACTACTTTCTTAGTGATCTTCACAGCAATACAACCATACCGATCCGTTCGCTCACAGATCGATTCAGTAATCCGGAAGATTGGATCGGCATCGAGGACGAGCAGAATTACATATCTACTCGAACTTTCACCGTCCGGAATGAACAAGCTGGTCATCTGATTTGTGTACCAGTTGCGGTCCTTCAAAAATTTCTGCAGAAGCTTCCCAACAGCAGTGATTTCTTCTTTCGACCTCTGAGACAGTCTTTAACATTGTGTCAGAGGGCTTTAGGGCAGAAGAGTGACTGTATCGGATGCCCCACGCTCTTTCGACTGAGACAAGGACCGTAGGATGTACACGATACGCTTGCTACTGTATGCCGAAAGCTGATATGGGTAACCCTCTCTGATTTTTCTTGAGTACACCAACTCATGGTACAAGGAACCATGTTTTACAATAGCTTTTCGCTTTGAAGATTTGGGCCTTTCGGGGCATGTTCATCGCGGCCTGTGACAGGAGCCGGTTCAGGGCAGATGCGGGCACCAGTGCTAGCCCCGCGGGAGGGGTCGGGCAGATCATCGGCCCATCAATTTCTTGGTTCCCGACACGTCACATCTGTTGTCCTTCAGCCTTCTTCTAGTTTCGCCCTCGCATCGTGATGCAATATATTGCTGTTGCTCTGATTAAGCCTTTGAAAATGCACACACAGAGAAAATCACATCGACGCGACGGCCTTGGGAGGCCAATGTGTCCATCGAAGATGCGAAAACCATCGCGCGACACGCGACCCGGCTACAACGCGTGAGCACTTCGCTTGCGCAAGAGCGCCTAACGTCTGCTTTTTCGTCCTTGACCACATATATCAGGCTGAGGATTCATGACGCCTGTCATGGATGTATGCACTCGATGGTAGGGTGTGGTCGATGCAAGGCTCGAGAAGTCTGTCATAGGTCGAGATGGACCTGCATCCGCTGAGGCTTGCAGTGGCTGCATGAAAAGGCAAAAGAAGGCAAACAGGCGTTCGTATTACCACAGCGGTTAGGCTTATCGCTGTGTCATTTGACGAAAGAACTACGTGTCCTACAGTCTCAGCCGCTCGTCATGGCCTGCACAATGAAGCCTGTATCGACGCATTGACTTGATGCAGCCACGGTGAAGCCTTTCACCGGCCGCTACGAGTTTCTTCGCAGAATTTGTACCGCTACGGGAGGCCAAATCATGTGAGTGGCAGATGAGTACGTCAGGTGCTTACATAGCTGTGTTTACGTCCTGTTGCTTGCCCTATTGCTTGCGTAACCTTGACTCACAGCCACTCCTTTAAGCCGTTTCAGCACAATGAATACCTATCTACCATGGAACTTTTCAACGTCTTCCGTTAATCTCAAACAGGCACTTATGGATGAGATCAAACGACGGTCCGAACACAACCATTTGCCCCACCGTGGTGGATTTCTGACGTTCGAATTCATCGACGAGCTCTTTACTATTGGTAATATTGCTGAACAACTCCGACTACGTCAAGAAGGCCCTAGCCTTTCATGGAAAGAACGACATCGCCTCGCGCAATCCATCAAACGAGATCAGCAAAAGCTTTACGCAATTCTTCTTCTCATGGATAAGTCGAACCGCCTGACTTTAAGTAAAGCTAGGGACTTCACCGACAAGATCCTTTTTCCCATTGCGCAGCCTGGTCTTGCTTCTCTTCCATGCTCCTTAGAGAAGTTAGAGAAACCGGAATACTCGATTTTATTCCACGACATTGCCTCTGAATTCTTTGTGAAGCAGTTCGTGTTTCCACCGAGCTTGTCGACGACACCGACTCCAACCTACCCATCATACTTCATATTTCCATTCGCGAGCGCGCGTCTCCCAGTCGATCATGGTTCATATGGCGATGTATGGAAGGTAGAGATCCCCAAAGGATTCTTGGAACCTTTACAGCACGGAGAAACCTCCAAGGTATCTATGGCCTCGTCTAAACTCAGGCAATTTGGTCTAATGAATATTCTAGAACGTCTTTGTTGCCTACAAAAGGATTCGGAAGCAAGACACGACGTCTTGGAAGAAGGTAGATCTGGAGTATAAAGTACTACAACAACGGCCTCACAATAACATCACGCCCTTGTGGGGCAGCTTCTTCGCAGGTATAGAAGACACTCAACATCCACAGAGCACTGCTCAATGCTTGTACTTGTTGTCGCCTGTAGCAGACATGAGTATGCAAAAGTGGATCAGCGATGAGAGGGCTGAGCATAACAACTTCGAGTTTATTTACTTCGACACGATGCTAGCTCTCGCATCTGGACTCGCATATATTCACAGAGAAATCGACGACTTCGTGGCCTACCATCGCGATATAAAGCCAAATAATATCCTACTCTTTCCTGGTGACAACGATAAGGTCATATGGAAGTTTTGCGACTTCGGTACCTCGAATCTCAAGTCCGCAAATGAAACCAGAACCACGAGTATGGTTACAACTGAGTACTGGGCCCCTGAAGAATACTTTGAGACTCGTACAGAGGACAAAGGGCTAACGCGTGGTCGCCCACATGATGTTTTCTCTCTCGGATGTGTGTTCCTTTGCTTGACAACAATATTGCACACGGGCCTTGACGGTTTTGCAAACTTTAGAAAACGGCGAGAGAAAGCAGACAAGAGTGACAAGACCTCACATTTGAAGGGTGCGTTCCACAAAACGATGCCGGCGGTACAACGTTGGATTGAGAACTTGCATAAGAAATGCAAGGAAAACCCAACGCAGGAAGTGTTGGGCCGCGAAGTATTAGTTCTTATCTCGGAGATGCTACAACCAATCGATAAGCGTATATACTCATGGGAGGTAGAGGTAGACTTGCATATCCTTGAGCAGTTGGAAAATGACTCTACGAGCGTGGTGGATCGTCTGCGCCAGACCATACATGGATCAAGAGGCTACAACTCGAAAACAAAGCACAATCCTTATAGACGCGCAAAGGCAAAGGCTGATAAAGAGGATACGTATAGACCCAAGCGTTCAGAAGAATTCTTCCGTGTGATGGAAGAGTTTGGCTGGCATGATTACTCACCGCAGTCTACTACCAGTAGCTCTCAGCGAATGTCGGGCCGATCAGTCTACTCAAATCTTCCGCCGCTATCCGATCAAGATACGCTTTGTGGTGGCCAGAAACTGTACCAGGAGATATCGAATTATTTTTCGAGATCTGATATTGTAGCACTTTACGGAGTTGCTGGCATCGGGTAAGCTGGGCCGAGCGCTAGGCGATCTTCTTACTGAACTATCTGTAGGAAATCCAGAAACGCCTTTGAGTATGCCCGACAATTCACGAGTCTCAGTGAGCCAACTTTGGCTAGACATGTGTTCCACGTAAACGCCACAAGTGTTGAATGCCTGATACGGTCATACGATGCCATTGCAGATGTGATCAATAACTCTCAAGCCGACCCAACCGATAGGTATCGAGAAGGCTCTCTGGTCACAAGGTACACTCTTAAGCCCTGGCTCGAAGATGACAAGAACGGGAGGTGGTTCATGGTTGTAGATGGACTCAATCAGACTAGTAGCATGGCGGAACTTAGGAACTTGCTGCCTATACCAAGAGATGGCGTTGATCAGATTCTCATCACTACACGGGACCGTGCTGCGGCTAGGGGGTACTTGACGAGAAAACAGCACCTGCCACCATGCATCGAGGTAACTGCACTGAACCCCGAAGACTCGATGCGTCTCTTCATGCAGAACATCGACGAATCACAGAGACTGGATAGTACTGAAATCACGGACAAGATTGCATCTCTACTCGAGAAGCTATGGAGTCCTATCATGATCAAACTTGCCGCCGAAAACACCATTAAACGTCCAATCTCAGTCCTACACTTGGAAGAATTGGTGGAAGATAATGGGTTGTCAGAGGTGAAGGCGCCGTTCAAGTCGTATCTGGAGTACGTTCTTGAACCTCTAGATAGTGAACTTTCCATTGGTTCGAGTCGACGCTGGGAGGTTGGGACTTTATTCTTGCTCGCATTCTTTGACCCGGATGGGGTCAGTTGGGATATTTTGAAGAAGAACTATGACAAAAAGAAGAAGAAGCCGGGAAAATCTGAACTCGTAGGCGTTCTTGGGAGATTGGAGGACTGTGCCCTCATTCGCAAGGTAATGGAGAGTACTGATCACGTATACTCGATTAGCACAGGCAACATTCGACAAGCGATATTGGAAAAGATTGAGAGGGATGACGGTCTCGAAGGTCTTCTGACTCGCTACAGCAAGGCTTTGTCACTCGTCTACAAGTTCTACCAACCATTGCGCAAGTCGAAAGATTCTGCTCGACTTCGTCAGATCGAGCACTCGTTGATGCCACACTTCGAGTGCTTCTTGCGATTCACCAACAAGCACCCTCAGCGACAGAGATTTCGACTACACGATCTGGCCGTACGGGCCGTTATTTGCTTTTCGAAAGTTCTCATCGATCAAGACAGGCATAAAGAAGCCATGGACGTCACTGAGTACACTCGAGAACACTTCAAACCCGAGAGAGCCGATGAAAAACAAATGATGCTACATTTCAATCTTGGAAGGCATCTAACATCCATATACCTTACTCGTCCAAAGGACGCAACTTCATTCCATTACCGATCCAAAGCAGAAATTCTAATAGCTGAGTTGCAGTCAGTGGCCGACATGTCAAAAGGGCATGGTGTGACGTGGACGTGGTTGCCCTCAATGGATCTGAAGATCAAGTTAGATCAAGTCAAAGTTTATCGGCAAGCTACACAGTTCAGCGAAGCACATCGATTGTTATCAAATATTCAGGAAGGTATCGAGATCGCGAGTACCAAAGGTGGCCGAGGCCCTAGGCATACCAACAACGAAAGAATTCGTGGCTTCGCAGCGCGTGAACTGCAGACCCTGATCACATATCAAGACGGGTTGTTGCATACGGCCGAAGGCATCTCGAAACATAAAGGCAACCCGAGAGCTGCTCTAGAATCTTGGAATAAGGCTCGAGATTTACTTTTGAAGGCCAAGAAGGATGCCAAAAACACTCGCCCAGCCGATCAGGCGTGGCATGATGAAATACGCGCTGCGATCGCAGTTGCGAACACCAGGATTGGGCAGAAGCATCTTATCCAGGATGCGATCAAAGCACTAGAGCTCGTGTTGGACAGAACAAAAGAAAACTACGGATTGGTCCAACGTACTAAGGACGTGGAACGCAGGCTCAACGAGGCGAGGCTCAAGTCGAGTAAGCATGATGTGAAACTTGCGACGGAAAGCTCACGAGAACTCTTGGACTGGTACGCGAAGCATTGCGGGTCACATGCGAAAGACACCGAGGACTGCGCGTTGCAACTTGTGAGAGGGTTGGAGAAAATGGGGAAAATGAATGAAGCAAAAATGATCAGGAAGAAATATAGGTTGGAGAAAGACTGTAGTGATGCGAGAAACATGTGGAGTTGGGAAATGTCAATCATGGTCTTTTTCTTCTGTCTCTTGGTCGCGTCGTTCTACATGAAGAGACAGTATGCGTAAACTAGATTTCATTTTGAGCTATTTAATTCAAGCTCCGTTTCCTGTGTATGCACCATGCCTGAGAGTCCACGCAATCAATATGCCTACATCCTGGACCGCCGAAATTTTACTATGCAACAAAAGAGAATAGATGCGGCAATACATTGGATACAGACAAGGTACAGACTATTCGCGACCTGTTTGCAAAAAAGGCATAGTGACTTAGGAAGAAAAGCGCCAGGAAATGGTCAAAGGGTATAGGTAGTAACAAAAACCGGCAAACGTATGCTCCACAACAGATACGCCGAACTCCAAAGATGCCCTTGATTACATAAAGTCATTATCATCCTCCATTTGAGATAACTCCATTCAAATGTATTCCGGAAGGCAGTCTCCTATGCTCACCTCACTTCCCGTCGATAAAGTGGGCGAGCATGGGTCAATATCATCTTGTGGGATTCGAGACACGTCTTCCGTGGGCGTCTTGTTCCCAGTTCCCAGCGAAAGTGGTGGTATTGAAGATGCTTCAACTGTGGGAGTTCGAGGGGATTCGGCTGTAGGAGTTCTGTCTCCAGTGCTCACGGTGAGCGGAGGTATCAGTGGCGATCGGGGGGTAGGCGTTCTATCCCCCGCACTGTATGCAGGGTGTGAAGCGATAGCGAGGAATTGCGGGGTGAGGTATCGCGGATCGATTGGCAAGAGGAGGAATTGTGGGTACTGGGGTAGCTGGTGTTGGCTCTCGTCTTCGGCGGCCGTCGCTGAGCGATCCCCATGTGCGACAACTGTGTCGGCTGCTCGATCTGGAGGGTTTTGTGGGTTTCTGCTTGCCCTGCTCAGTCAGCATGCATTCCATACGTGCGTCGTCGGGTAGACTACTAACTGTACGCGTTGGCCGTTAGGTAGCTGCGAACTAGGCAGTGGAGCGTGTGGTTGGAAGGGATCCGCCAGTACCCGCCCATTCGGCGCGTCTTCTTGACGTGGCAACCGTAGAAAGGGAAATGTTTCGTCGGGCGAGCGGGGCCTGTGCCCTCCATCGGTCTGAATGGGTTCCATGACTTCAGACGATCTGTGTATCGCTATGTTTGCAAAGGCTCTGCGACAAGTAGCTGTGTGTTAGAGGCATAGCCTACCCAAGCCCAGCGGGTCCCACAGCGGCATGCCCCGACCGTGCTGCATCACGCGGCCCCACGTGCCTGTTATCGATAATCTGTGCGTTCTATTGGGTTAGCGGCTCATATGCACGCAGCCCCTCAGCCTCGGCATTTGCTCAAGCATTTGGGATGAGCCGCTGCCGTAGACCGGCCTTGGGGTAAGTATGATTCTCGCAACGATCCACATGCCGTTGATCTCGTAGTCGGTCCGCTCGACAAATTGCAGCAATGCCTTTCTGATCCCGAACAGTTGGCAGTCTACCATCGTTCGCTGGCTGCTTAGATCATTGGCACTATACCAGGCTGTCACCTACACGTTATGCGAGTCTATTACAGGTAATCGATGATTTGTATTACTACCAAGAGACGATCCCTTCCATATCGAAGCGCCTTGGCTTACTTGATCATTTCTTTCTAATGTTTGATGTATCGAACACAAGCGGATTCGGTTTATCCGCGTCTCGCGCCACCTCGTAACGCCCAGAGCTTTCGCTGGATCCTCCAGGTCCCTTCACTGTTCCTAATTCCCATTCAACTATGGCCAGTCAGCCCACACTGCAATGCCACCAAGACAAGCCCTACCATCGTAGAAGACCCAGACTCGATCGCCTTTCACGTATTTGCTTTGCGCCTTCGCGTTCACCGGTGTTTTCGGACGAGCCATGCTTGCGATAGATCTTGTGTCTGAATCCTGGTCAATCTTTGTTGGAGTCCACGGTGTACTTTTGAAGCCTCGACGACCTGTGAGTTACAATCTGCGCAACATGGTGGAATACCGAGCATGCGTTATATAATGCTGTGGCAGCGAAGAGGGGGATGCATACCTGTCGTCATATGGCATGCGTTGTGCAACCTTCATATGCAGCTTTCAGCCTTTCCAGTCATCAGCGCAGACACAGACACAGAACCCTCATCCGATGCAAATCGCTTTCAGCATTTTCACAGCATCCAGTAAGGACGTTTTTGCCTGCGGTGGCTGGCCTTGGCTGGCGAAGGGGCGTACAGGCTGCGCCGTCTTACGTCCTGCAGAGTTTGCCTTTTCGCGCACACAGTTGATGGCCTCTCAGCCTGATTTAGATGGATCAATCACTACTTCGACTCATCATTTAACTTGTAGTAAAGCTACCCGTATCTTGCGATGTCCTTTTTCGAAACATGGATCCCATCTCCACGGCAGCAAGCGTTATAACGTTACTGGGCGCTGCTGCAGGCACGATAAAAGTCGTTCACGACACGATAAACTCAATCATTGACGCCCCAAACGACATCAAAAGGCAGTCTGAGCGGCTTGGGCACATTTCCATAACACTCGCTAGCGTCGTTCATGCATGCGAACAGCTTCCCGATGATTGTCACTTAGATCTGGAATTGCGTGGTATAGGCGAGCTCATTGAAGATGCCAAACTATTGGAAGCCAAACTCAATACCAGAGGAACTCGTATGATGAGAAACAACTTCAGCAAAATTCACGGAAGCTGCAAATGGTTGCTGGCAGATCGGCAGTTCAAGCGCTTCTTCGAGTCTCTGGATCAGTGGAACACTATTCTTCTCCAGACACTTGGGGTCATTCAATTGTTTGTCAACACTATCGCCATCGATTCTTTGTATCAAATGCTAATGTCTCTTCAGGACGCTGTTGAAACGAATTTATGCCCAGACGTCGTCGTTAACGAGCCTTCCGCACCTCACCCTCCCCGTTCCACCGATCGCCCCACAGATTGCGATGAAAACTCACTTCGATATGGAAATACAAGCAACTGCCTCTAAGAACGCACAGCAGAACTCGATGCAAAGTTCACACACAAGGAATAATTGGTTTGCTTCTTTGGCAAAGCTGGCTGAGCCTGTGGGAGTACTGCTACAGTATCATCACCATGTGCAGGTGTCAGGAATTGATCTGGCTCTGTCCGGCGGGAGATTGATCATGAAACGATGGTCTTCTTCTGGAAAAGAAACTCACGCAACTCTATCCCAATGGGAAGGTCATCAATCGTCGCTCATCATGTCAATGCCATATATCACTAGTCGGCGCTTAGAGGTGAGCGTTGCCGGCTTTCGAACACGGTCTTGCGACCCGACCCTAAACTTCCGCTGGACATTACGATATCACAGAATACTCGCTTACGATCATCCTTACTTTGTAGCCATTGAGAGGGGCGATATAGGCTACTTACAAAACCAATTATCATCCAGGACATTGTGTCTATCTGACTGCATTCTGGGAGGTCACAGCTTGCTGCATGTAAGTATGGCAGGTGAACCAAAAACAGCAAATATTGATAATGTGTGACACAGTATGCAGTGCGTCGCAACAGGCCAGCCATCGTTACCATGCTGATTGCCGAAGGCCTTGACGTCAATGTGCAAAACGACCGTGGCCAGTAAGTGCTTCCAACCTTTATTGACCTCTTGTACTGATAAAAACTAGAACGCCTCTCCATGTAGCCGTACAGCAAGGAAAAGACTTTGACTGTGCTCGTTTACTTCTAGAACACGGCGCAGACGCTTTCCAGCAAGACAACGAAGGTCGAAGCGCATTACACTATTTCTACAATGAAGTAGTACGGCAGCATCTACTCTACTATGCTGATGATATCGACCCTTGGATGCAAGATCGGAGCGGTATGACTGTATTGCATTGGGCATCATGGAGTCGTAGCTCGTCCCATCAAGCTTTCGTATGCATTCCAGACAAAGCAAAGGGATCGTCGTGCTATGGCTTGAAAGACGTGTACGGAAAGTCTATGTTGCACTACGCCGTACAAAGAGGTAATGCAGATCTTATCGCCTTCTTTCTCGCCAGTCCAGATGCAGCAGCCATGTCAATGCCGGACTTTTCTGGAAAATCGTTGCTTCACTATGCTACGGAAAGCGGCCGGCCGGAAATGATCGACATGATGCTGGAGAGAGGTATCGACCTCGACACTATCGATGACCAGGGTCGCACGGTACTTCATCATGCAGCTATGCGCGGTAACCTTGTCGCTACTCAACGTCTCATACAGCTGGGTGCAACCCATCAGTTAAGCTACAAGGACCATAACAATCAAACCCCTGCTGATTTGGCATGTCAATATGCTTCAGAGGCGGTCCAAGATTACTTCGAAACGCTTGGCCACTCGGGTATCGATGGTAGAAAACGAGACGTTTGTTTGCCTTCCGAGACAGCTAGCTCGGGCCAAAGCGCTGACAGGATGAGTTGGAACATAGCTTTGCTAATGCTTCTAGCATTCGCGACAATGTACTGGAGTAGCCAGTTGAATGCTCGCCGTGAGGTAAGCGTGGCATAAGCGCGCATATGAACTGAGATATTTGGGGAGCAGTTCAAGGGCGAGTTCGAGCGGATAACACACTGATCCAAATTTATTCTTCTATCAAAGCTTTCATAAGCCAATCAGCCAGGTATAAACTCGAAAGCTATACTAGAATCCTAGTAGTATCGCGCAACGGTGAGAGCCTTGACAACATCAAGGCACTGTATCTGCGTATACAATCTCTGGTAGCAGTCGTGTACAATTCAATTATTGTTCCACTGCTTGTTCAGAACTTGTGTCAGTCCCCAAGATTCGACTCTCTTATCTTGTTCTATGATAACGGTCGTCCTAGCAGTATTTGTTCTCGGATTGACAGATTGCCCATATGGAGGGATGACGCCATCTTGCCGCTAGGACAGCCGCTCTCACTCCGCTTCCGCTCTGCTTAGAACTAATCGGTAGTCGGACAAAACGCGGAAGAAATTCGACGTCCTGTCTACGCGTCTTGGAACATAGTCAACGTAGTCTACAATTGCCGCTTGTTCAAGACTTGTTTTAGCTCCAACGTACGGACTCTCCTGTTCGATCTCATAACACTGATCATCGCGGCAGTACTTATTCCTGAACTGGCTGACCTATCATTATCCTTCATATCTTGAAGCATGTTCTGCGACGGACTGCTTACAAGTATGACTCTTTCACTCAATCTGCATGTATATTCCAGTTACCCCAGCCTAAGCGTGGCAGCCCATCAATTGGGACAGCGACTTTACCTACTAGTCTTGACTGTATACTGAGCCTTTGCCTTATGTTCATCTGTTGTGACCTCTCTTGCTTCTTGTACCATATCCATGCGTATAAGAACGACACTCGAAACTTCCACACCCCATGGCGATTTGTGTGATTGCACCAGCTAACGCCATTAGGGGTCTTCTTGTGCTTGTGCTCTCTATCACATTTGGTAGCGCATCGACCTGAATCTTTGACAAGTTCCTTCAGTAGAGCGCAAGGTGCCAGGTGAGCATTGTCGTTGGGGTAAATTTGTCCCTCTGTAGGCTCAAGCTCAAACTCAAGATATGGACCGTCCGCCAGGAGAGCCGTCAGCTCATCCGACGAGAGCTGGTAAATCTCGGAGCCTAGCATATCCAGTATGAGTAGGGTTGTACAAATGCAGATAGTACTACGGCATGCGCTGACAAGTTGATGCGCAAGCTGGAATACAGAACATTCGTAGTCGACTTTTATACGATCTTTCTCGGAACATAGTGATACCAGAGAGAAGATTCTGTCTCTGGCAACACTGCATTTTCGACTGTAAAACTTCAGTAGTAAGCGTATTAAAGGGCTGCCAATTATAGAACTCTTGCTTGTGCTGAGGTTGTAGAAGTCATTCTGCGCACTGTCTACTGCGGACATATTGTTACTGGACAGGCACGACCAACTGTGGTCCAGAATGAAGGTCTTCGAACTGAGCATGATGATGACTTGGCGTGCCAGTACAAGCTCTTGCGTGATCCAGGCTCGCGACCAGTATTCATTTCGAGCGATTTGTTTTCGGTACGTGGTTCCTCGTGTGTCTATGACTTATACCCGTTAGACCAAGTATCTTTTCGTGCAGTAGTGGTTCGTCTAACATACGGCCGAGCCAAGCGACAACGCGTGTTGCTTTCGAGTAGATCATACCCATCTGCCCGACTTGATGGTTACGTTCAGCCTTGTTACTTTGATCAATGCAAAGAGCATCAATCCAGTATTTCGTGCGCCTAGATCTGGAATGGCCACGGATAGTTTCCAGGAAGTCGAACAGATTCTTCCGTACATGGAACTTTCGTCCATTGATCAATAGAAGCTGCTTCGGTTCCGGCTCACCCCATGTATATGACAAACAAGAGTAATGCGCATTTGTTGTCGTGTGGTGGATGGAGCATTGGATGTAACCCTCAGTCGAGAGATCTGGCGATACGGTAACGAGGCGCATAGTAGGCTGATAGTGGTTCAGAGGTTTATGTTTGAACAAAGTTCGTGGCGATACACGTAGTGTGCCATGGTGTACTGAACTGTGCTGTATCGGGCTTCGCTGTATCAAGCTTTGCTGTACTGAGTGTTGCTGTACTAGGCTTTCCTGTACTGAGTTGTGCTGTTCTAGGTCGTATACTGCATCTGGGCGGGAAAGGTCTTCGTTGCTTTTAGTACAAGAACCCTCCAGGTTTACATGTTCGTTCAAGCAATCTTCAGGTTTTAGAAGGTATGAGTGGCTTGCCGTATACGATGTTGAGCTTTCAGCACCAGTCTGGGACGTCGCCCTCCAACTCGAGGGGAGGAGCAGTTTCCAGATTCTTGCGATGATTGCGCTCGTCATCCCTGCATTCGACAGGAATATTATGCGAGACTGACTTCGAACGTCTCTTTGGGTGGGGAAGTACACAAGAATAAAAATATCGCGGTTTCGAACGTTGGTGCTCGAGTAGACTGTGGTAAGGTCAGGCTGAAGCGGGGTCGGCGTCTAACGCGACCTTCATTGAGGCGAAGCATGCTCAGCTGCGCCTCAGCTTAATGTCAGCATCCGGTCAGAAAGAAGCGCTAGTTGGTTGGGTCCTCTATTACAACACGCCCACCCACATGCAACGACGAAAACAGGAACTTGAAAAGACAGAGATGGATGCACTTAAGGATCCCGTTATTCTCACAGGCCCATCAGCGCAAGATCGACAAAATACTGACATGAGGCCAGCTGAACCCCACCAACGCTTCAAGAACAAGCCCTACCTGCAATGTCTCGAGATTCTCGAAGATGCGTTTCCAGCGCTCAAATCATTCTTGGAGAAGCTCGCTAATGAAGAAGAGCCAGGCCGCAAGGCTGTCAACTCGCACTACCAAGCGAAACATGGACGAGCACCAGGGCGATGCTATTGCTTGGAGTTCCAAGACGATAGCGTCTCGGTGGTAGAAGAAGGTGTCTTTGAGAGCCCTTCCACGCTTAGAGCATATCTGAAGAAGAAATCAGCCACGGAAAGTCGCATCGAGAAGCACAGACGCCTTTTCATCTTGGAGGATATGGAACCAGACTACGTCGACGCACTAGGTCACCATCTGGGTGTTGATCCTTTGGTTTTCAGCGAACAAATGAACACCTGGAACTTTACGGACTCCTGGTCTATCCCGCATAGGGGGCTGCCTTCGATGTCAATACCGGAACAGTCGTTTACATTGCGCTATTACGAACTGCGCACCTTGCTCGAGCCGAAATCGGTCGACGTTCTTAGCTTACAAACGTCATTTGCAGTCAATCGGCGCGTGAGTATCCCTTTGAGCGTTCCATGTAACATATACACTGACTTTGTACACCTACTTTAGAGGTACGAAAGGTGGAGAGATATCGATATACCTTCGCTGGGCAAGCCCGACCGAAGACATGCTTTTGTGAGACGATGCGCGTCATTCTGGACATCGCAGAGCTCGTTGTCAGATGGAACACCAGATGATCTGGGGTGGGATGGTAAGTTCTCCAGACCAGCTCGAAGGCGTTACCCATGGCTAACAGTCATGAGTATAGCTGTCATCCTTGTAGACCCTGCATTTGTTGCTACTTGCGCTGTACCACCTGCAAAGCCTACAAAGCCAGATGTTCCCAAGTTCAACGGACTTCCAATAGACCCAAGCGCACTCAAGACTCTGGACGACTGTCTAATCCTACAGGCTGAAGAGCCGTTCAAAAGTAGGTCGGCGCTCTGGAGAGCGCAAGACTGGGGTACACCTCATTCCCTCCAGGGAACTCCCCATCGGAGCTGGCCGTATCATAACGGATGCTCTACGTTGGCTCCGTTGATGTTCTCAGAAGTTGGCATGGGAGCAAAGGAGGCAAACGTTGGGATGTTCCAGAGGAGGCGAAACCTCACGAGTGCCATGGATGAGATGGTGTTCTACTGGACGAGGCTCGCCACTCCCGACCTCATCCAGAAAACGAACGAGAAGTCATCCAACTCTGCGTTTTACCTCCTCAAACACGTCGCGCAGCACTGGGTGAATCAGCTGGAACTCATGAACACCACTATTGCCAGAGCCGAATGGTTCTCCGACGACTATCAAGCTAAGATCGACGACAACTTGAGTAAGCAGAAATGGAAAAATGACCTACTCAAGATCAACGAAATCGCAAAGGATATCAACTACATGCGCCGACATTTAAACCACTTTTGGCGCGCCATGTACCTGAATCTTGAACGCCTGGGGGTCCAACTAGGTTCCGAGAGCGTCGACAGAGACGCGTCCCTAGCACTACAAGGTGCACAAAAGGACTTCTTCACTATTCACACAAGGATGCAACCTTTGCGCGATCGCGCGGAGGCCTTGAACTCCGTCTCAAACGATCTCGCCAACCTGCGCGCGGCATTCAGAGGCGTCTCAGATGGCGAATTCAGCTTGCGTCTAAGTTTGTTCGCCTCTGTTGTCTTTCCGCTCACATTGCTCGCGGGCATCTTTAGCATGGGCGATGAATTTCGGCCTGGAAGACCGCAGTTCTATAAGCTCTGGGCCATCGGCGTGCCTGTCTGCTTGATAGTCGCGCTTGGACTGGTGTACGGAAGGCGGCCGTGGGCGGTCACTATTGATATTTGGGACTATGCAAGAGCCTGGCTCGAGGACCTTAAGCTGGTGGAACCCAAGAATGGGAAGGCTGCGCAAAAACCAGTCAAGGTTGGCATGAAAGCGCACAGAGTGGAGAAGAGCAGATCTATTGAGCAAAAGAGTTTGAAGAAAAGAGCAAGCCGAAGGAATCGCGATGAAGAACATGGTGACTATTGAACAGAGCGTGGAGATTTTGGAGGTGCATGGCTCAAGCGGGATCATTTCGTCACCGACCGAGGCAGCGCGTGGGCCTGGTATCCTTATTCCCGCATCACCGCAGCAATGGCTTCCAGCTGCTCCCTCTGCCACCTTTGCGAGATAGTAGTATGCGTATCATCTTCAAGCCTCAGCACAACCCTTCCATCATCACCGCCTAATCTCGCTGCAATCTGCACACCATGATTGGCAGGCACGAAACAGTCGTCCTTGCCGTACCACAATTGCACTCGCAGATCCTTTCTGATGCCTTCGATCTGGAAACCCCAATCGCGACACAACACCTTCCCGTCCGAAGCTATGCCTTCAAATCCTTGCGCTCTCGCTTCACGGGTTGACCGCAATACCAAGCGAATGACGTCTTCATCGCTCATTATCTTTCGGTCCCTTGGATCCTTTATTTTGGCGAGACTTGAGGGAGACAGCGCGCGCTGAAGACGCTGTTCGTCGGTCATGTCCATTCGCCCGAAGACATCGCGGCTGAAATACCATTCCATCAGAAACTCGGGGGTGTACTTCCATCCGTACGGGAAGCCAATTTTGTGCATGAAGTCCGCTCCCTTCATGCCGATGTCCATCGGTCCAAGTCCGCATACGATGGATATGCATTTCAGCTTCGTCGGAGGAAGTGATGCTGCGCAAGCGAGAACGTATGGACCGCCTCCCGATGCGCCTAGTATTGAGTAAGATTCGAGTTGCAGATGTTCAATCAGACTTTCGAGGTCTTTCGGGCAGTCGAGTAGCGTTCGCTGGGGATGTGGTGTGCTCCAGCCTATGCCAGGCCTATCGACTGAAATTATCCTCAAGCCTAGCTCGAGGCCAAGGTCGTGGTAAAAAGCGGCTTCGAGGCGAGAGCCGGGAAGTCCATGGTGGTACAAGATTGGGTGACCGGTAGGCGAACCGTATTGTGCGTAGCCTAGTTTGCGGCCATCCGGAAGGGTGCAAATATTTGAGCTATCGTCGCCCAAGGGATAGCGACACTCGTGCGATTTACTATCCTGATTAGGCAAACTCCCTTGGTGGCTCTTGCTCATGACTAGTGGTTCGATGGTGGTTTTATCTAACATAGGCCGAATGAATTGGGGTTTGGGGATACAGTATCTTGCTTGCAAGTATAGTCGCAACTGTTTGCATCGAGTCCAAAATTTATCACCACAAGACTCGGTTTTATGAACATGCTGTTTGCTTAGGAGAGACCTGGTCGGCTTGAACGGACAGCCGACCAGCAGCGTCAGGTGTTCTGCTTACTCCGACTTTTCCCGCATTCTCTTTGTTCAAGCCAGGCAACAGTCTTATAAGTGTCATGGAGAACTGCACACAACCAAATTCCTCCTTTTCCAACGAGCACAGTGTTTTCTCGATCTCGTTTCGCACTTCCAGTCGAAGTCGGACGGGTGCAGGCTAACGGGACATTCTGCTCTATTCTTTGCCAACGAATGCGACATAGGCTTTACCCCACGAGAGGTAACACCACAAGGTTGAATGGAATTGCTTTATGTCTTGGATTGGTGTATTTATTGGCGGTCTTTGCAGCCTACTGATATCTCTTCTTCGGCAATCAAGAATCCGAGATTGTATATGTACGTAGGCAGCCACCAGCGTCAAGAAAACACGACAAAGCTAGACTTTTACACATACACCACGTTCTACACCAGACTTATCGTAAGAAAGTTTGGGTACACTAATCAGGCAGCTGCATGCGCACCATGCAGTAATCACGCCATGTTAGCATCAACAATGCTGTGAATACTCAATGTTGTGCTACTTTTCTACTTCCGCTGCGACATGACACACACCGTTCAGTGCGTAGACAGACACTTCGGGGTGCGCGATCCTGCAACTTGCGTCTTAGTATTTCACCGAAAATTCACGCAGAAGTTGGCAGTATTCCACTGGTCACAAGAGCCAAGACTTCGACGTTACAGATGTCAAAAAACAAACCATTGTCTAAGCTCATATCGTGTGTCCTGTATCATAAGCGAGGCTGATCATCCTAGTAAGCATTACACAGCGCCAATAATATGGTTGCCTTCTATGACGACTAGACCACGTTGTGGGAACGGATGTTCGACGTCGAAAAAAGCGTTGTTCGCTCACGTCCGAGATCAGCAAGACCCACGAGGCAGCTAGGTAATGCCTTGATCGTTGTCCTTCATGCACATCCTAGCACCCACGCGCTTACGGAGATCTTGCCCTAGCAAGTGAGGCCCAACGTTGCGCTGCAAGCACCAACTACTTTCTCTCCACACAGATACGCCACTGACAACCCGCGAAGCTGCCCCCCAAATAGCTTCTCTTACGTCGATCACGGTACTATCATATCTCGCACTCGGAATGAACCAGTCGCCTCCACTGCCTCGGATCTGAGAGAACAATGGCTTTGACGAGATGGCGCCCTGCAGCATGTGACATTGTCGGCGCTGAGCGCTTTGCTGCATGTGCGTGATCCCGACTTTCCTGCTGTGCAATGTGGAATTCACGCGTGCTTCACCGATGGCAGGCTTCAAATGACGATTGTGTTCCGCGTTCAGGTCTTCGATTCGGAAGAGCGTAACCCAGAAGCGTGTCACTTTTTCTATCGGGGTGCGTAGTATGCGTCCCTAGCACATGGTGTAAACCATGCTGCTGTACGGGACGAATAATTAGTGAAAGACTACCCACCAACCATATGCATGTAAACATCTGGCTAGACCTGTGGCTTATATCGCGGGCCGCAGCGTCACTGTGTATGTTTTGCAGATTAAGAGAAACTTGTTATCTCAATGCATTGAGGCAATATCCACTTACACCCATCCTTTTCCTTCCCAGGGATGCGCATCCAGTCGCCGATTCAAGGGACGGCAAGGCTGTAACTCCGCCGCGCACGTTTTGAACCTGCTGCTATAACCGGACTTTCGGGCTAAAAGTGACAAATAGCCGAATTGGTTTTCTTCATCATATCCGACACGGCCGAGGTGTTGAGGATGCATTGTTGCAACTGAAGAAGGAAATGAAGGAGAGAGCGAGAGTGTGACTTGGAGCATTTTGACCAGGTACTCGGGTCAGATGTGACAAATGACTCCATGGTCGCATACATCGGGACCATCACGACCACCATGTCGGGTACATGCACCCATACATGCACCGAGAAGCAAATGGGAAAGACCAACATGTGAATGTTAGGGGGTTTGGTGGGGGTATATTGTATTGCTGACTCCCATGACGGCATGCTAAACCAAAAGTCCGGGACGTGGGGTGAAGGACGTCGTAAAATGTATACCGATATTCGCTAAGTATGCTTCTATGTTTCCCGTTCGCAATGCTGAAAATGTGTTGCTCCAATAACTCCTCTATGCAAAGTGACCTCCACATTACTCTATCATAATCATATCGCCTTATCTAAACCCCTCACTACCCATGAATCCACTCCAATCATCCATGTCGCGGCTCTCGGCTAGAGGCGTAAGCGAGGATAGAGGACCCACAGTCGATGGATGTATAGCGACCGAGCATCTCATATGCACTTGCTCTCCTTGTTGGGACATCCCATGAGTGGTCGGCGCATATACACTTGCGGCCTCGGCGATACTTGACATCGGTAACGGTACTGCAGAGCTAGAGGCGAAGTGGTGGTAAGGTCTCGGATCCGAATCGTAAGAGGAATATTGAGGTATATCGAAGGGGGTATAATCTCCTGAGCTAGTAGTCCGCAGTGGTGTGTTTCGCGATGTTCGGGCCGTTGATCTATCATTTTCGCTCGGCAGGGAATAATGCGGCCTCAAGAGTGGCGGGTGTGCGTTGGTTGGAGGGATTCCGGGACAGGATCTGTGCCTATGCAGGCTGTGGGACTCTTCTCGCGGATGGCTCCATGCGGAAGGTGGGGTTTCATGTCCTTGACTTCCGCCTGGAGCTTCGAAGTGCCAGCCTTGATTCCAAAACATTTCGTTCTCCGGTTCTGCTGATGCTGTGACCCTCTGCAACTGGTTGTATAAGTGAAGCGGAATGGTTCTCTCGTCTCCTTGAGAGGTTTGCCACTCGTGAGGACCCATCGTATCTTTCCTCACGTGCCCATGCAACATGGAGAAGTCAGAGGGCGTTGCTGGAGCCGTGTAACCATGCGGCTGCATGTAACCATCCCCGGACCTTGTCGCGTATCTTGTGGGCGCTGGTCGCAACGTGGTCGATCTGCGTAGACCCTGCATGATCTTCGCTGGTCTAGAACTGTCAGCTTCCTCCTTGGACGATGCTGTTTCTTTCTGATCTGCCGTGTGGAGATAAGATGGTCCTTGTTGTTGGTCTCCAAATTGGGTTGAGGTCCGGGAATCAATCCATATTTCCGGGACAAGCGCTAAGTCTTGGATAGCATGTTGACCAGGACCTTCGAGCAGGGACATTTCCATATGGCCCATGACTGTATCACTTCTACTCAAAATCCTTGTCGATTCACTCTTGTCAGCTTCTTGGGCTGCCGCATTTCCTTGTTTTCGTGGTGGAACGCCAGGCTGTTTTGTGACGGCTGTACGCAGCTCTTGCAGACCCCAGCTGATCTTTTCCACGGCTAGTCCGGCAAGGCTATGCACATTGTTCTCGTAGAGATCTTTAAAGATGACGAACGCTTGTTCTGCCTTCATGGCGTCAACGGTGATTGTCCGGCATTCTATGCCGTCCAATAGGAGGATCATGGAACTGTTGAAGGCCTGTTGCGCTAGGGTCCAACTGATCAGCGCTGCTGGGTCTCGGTGATAAAAGAAGATGAAGGCGGTAAGAAGAGCTTCCGATGAAGCAAGTACTAGCGTTCTTGCGCGACGAGCGGCTAGTGTTGACCATGTCTCTGGTTGGAAGCGGTTGACAGCCTGGAATGCTGTCGCGCTATCTGTGCCGATAGGCACGGCGTCCTGGGTGGTGTGCTTCTCGAATCTCTGCCGATTCAAGAGCACGATGTACGTGTGCGCTTTACAGAAGTACACTATGACATGTGAGTGAATGTGGACATATGGTTGTTTACGCTACAACATTGCAGCTAAAAGTCTGCCATTCGGGAAATGTGACCGAAGTAGTGACAAGGGGGGTAATACGTACCAACAGCTATAGCGTATAGATCAGGTAAATTAGTCTCAGGGTACATCCAGGTGTCATTGAATTGCAGCGTTTCAGGCACCGTATCCAGTAATCTTCGAAGTGCGTCTGTAAGCTCATCAATCCTGGCACTCGTCAAGCGGTCGCAACTCATAATTTGCCTGGCCAATACGGTGAAATGATTGACGAATTCGCCAAAACGTAGCAAGACCTGATCAGTCGTCAATTCGACTGGCCAAGGGTTATCTCCGATGCCGGTTATTCCAAGAGGTCTGCCGAGCGTCATGGACATGTGTTCATCTAGGTGCAACATATGCCACCACACCTTTTGTCGCACTGCGCAGTCCTTTTCGTTCGTAGGTGCCGGGTCAAGATACTTCGGGTGACGATGAAGACCAATCGAATGGGCGAGGCGAATAGTAGTACCAAATAACGTGTATGCGTCTAGCATTCTTCCATCGTTGGTCAGATAACTTCCGATCATGAGCAGCGCTTGAATTGACGAGAGGGAAGGTTTGTGTGTAAATGAAGCCAGTCGTAAAGCTTGCATCGCTGCTGCAACTGCATCATATATGTTAGTTTTGCTACCAACACCCTCCGATCGACTCACTGTAGACATTGCTCTTCTGTGTTTCAACTTCGATGACTTTGGCTTTCCATTGTCCTCCTCCTCTATCCCACGTTGAGTGCTGTGCCCCCAGTGCGATAAGCCCAAACAGGAACGCCAAAGTAGTCGGATAGAGCTCAGAATTCTTTCTAGCGTCTGACAAGAAGCCCTCTACCTCATCGTTCGTCATCTCCGCAGGCACTTGATAGACTCGTCTCTGGAAAGCTCCCAAGTATTCCATAAGTTCTTGCTTCTCGGGCAGACAGCTTAGTAGTTGTGGAAAACATTCGTCCGGTGCAGCACTGAAAAGAGTCGGGTAGGGATACGTTGGCGAGCTGCGGAACATATCCGAGCCGCGAGGTGTTGTGTAGGATAATGGTAGACAGCTAGTGTCCGCTGCAGTGAACTTCGAGTGTCAGTCTTGACGTTTAGGCTTGAACACGTATACACACATCGCTAATGACAGTAGCCAGCCCTGGCGAGCCAAAATAGATGCTGTCTTGCCATTCTGAAGTCTGAAAGCGTTTCTGCTTGGTTGTGCGTCGCTTGTGAGATGTAGCAGCGCCCTCTCTGGAGACAGAGTCGGGTGAGACTTCGCGGCCAGCGTCATCGTCATCCAGCGGTATTTGGCAGGAGCGTAGTCGTTCTTTGAGTCGTAGGTTCTCGGCGCGTAATTTCCGAAGCTCGTAACTCTGCTGGATTGGAGCATAATTGCCGTCCTCTGCGATGAAGTAGCAGTCCCGCGGAGAGCCACGAGCGCAACATGCCGAACATGGCTTTGTGCGATCACACTATGCCGAGTCAGCGCGATGTACGCCCATTTTCCAAACCGCTAATATGTCGCTTTCACAGATTGTTGCGTGGACCGCAGTTCGAGGAGGAAAACCAACCTTGACCTTGCGCTCTCTACACTTCGTGCATGATAGCAATTGACGTGGCTGTTGTGGCTGTTGCTTCCTTCGGTTGATGTCGGCCGCACCAGGAGAATGATCTTGAGGAATATGTATTCGTTCGTATGGAACCTCTGCAGCTGACATAGTAGAACAAAACTAGTATGTCGTGCCGTATCGAATATTGAATAAGACTAACTAGAGAGACACACTTCGAGAATGATGCAATTGTTTGTTGAGTGTGGCAGACAGTATGGTATACATCGAGTCAGAATCATATATTTGGTCGATTCGTGTTAACGGGAAGCTCGCGTCATCTGTTTTGTAGGAACATTCTAGATATCACCTCTAGCCACTGGCACTGCCGTGATAAGTAAACACACGAACGCGAAGCCTCATTCCAGTTAGGGAAGCCTCCGAGCCATTGGTAGAGTAAAGAAGCGCTAATGTTAGAAATGCTGGGCTTTCACCGTAGTCTGAGCTCCCGGACTGGCGGTATTACATTGCGCTTACGCTAATACGCATGGAACACCGAGGCGCAGTTGTACAAAAGATATCGCCAAGCGGGTTGAAGGGGCCATCGGAACAATACAGGATGCTTGACACAGCACACAGATCTGACGCACCTGTCGACGGCCCGAGCCTCTGGGTCTCCCCACCCTTCTCTGCCCACGCGCGCATATGCATGCACAACGAACCGGATTGCTTGCCGGTTAAATGCTTCCTTCCTACAACTGAGCGGAGAACTCGATCTTGACATTACAGATCTACATCTATGTTGGTTGTTCGTAGCAGGTGCCACCGTGGCTTGGTGTGGCTTGCAGGGGCGTGTGTTGGAACGCCTCCGTTGCTTCAAGCTTTCATTGGACAATCCTAGTTGTTTCGGACGTTACTACTGCGTACTGTCTTGTTTATTCCGCAGCAGAATTGATGCGAATGCGAGGCTGGCAATTTGGAATCGATGGGCTGTTGAGAGTGATCTACAATCACGGAGCGCAAGCCCCGTGGTGTAATACCAAAACGCCTCGTTTTGCCACCATCGGAACCTGAAATTGTTCGCGTGCCAGGCATACCGTCTGCCGGGACGTCAAACATAACCAACCCCACCGCCACCCAGAAATTCAACTTCCGCGATCTTCTGTCGGCAGTTGCGAGAAAAGCAGATGAGAAGATTCTAGCAAAGTGGCTTAGACAGCTTTGTTAGTTCGGTCCAAGAGGCGAATCGGCTTCACCCAGATGGTTCTCAAAAAAAGGTCGACTCTCTCCAGCGCCACTTCCCATTCATCACCTTCTTCGCAGTCATAACTGTTCATGAAGACCTTGAGGCCATACTCCGGTATCTCACCTTCCACCAACCCCGCCCCTGCCTTCACAGACCTTGTCCAGAACGTGAATATTTTAGGAAGCTCCGCTTCCTTGTACTGGAAAGCACGAAGGATAGCCTGGGTAACCCAGAAGCGCGTGGAGTTCCGCTTGGTCTGGGTGATGATCCGCTCGCGAGGGGAAAGTGTGACGATGGATTCTTGCATTTGGCTTTGTGAGAAAGGGAGTATGGACTTGGACCCCGGCGCCAATTTAAATTTTCTGCCGTTTTGTGCTTCCCAGCGTAGGGCAGCCTCGATTTGCCAGTGCGCAATCATGTCCGTAAAGCGACGGAGAGGACTTGTGACTTTGATGTAGCTAGGGACTCCGATGATCTTGTGTGGCAAAGGCGAAGAATGTGCAACGGCCATGCCTAACGATCTTGTCCATCGCGAATGGAGATCCAGTCGTACCTTTCCATGTTTTTCGTAGTGGGTCTGCACAAGCTGTTGCAGCTCCTTTGGTTCCAAATCTCCGCCTGGTGGTTCAATCGTACCCCTGTACATCACGGGTATGTTCCGCTCAGTACACCATGCAGCCGCTGTCTGACCGGCAAGCAGCATCATCTCTTCGGTAATGTTCTTAGGTCCGATCTCCAACTGCATCAAACCGTCCGAGATCGAATTCGTTACCTCGATTATCGGGTCTCCTTGAATAAAACGTGCCCGATCCAATGATGGGGCGTTCCAGCTCAAGCCACCCTGGCTGGCGCTCTCGAAGACACGAGCACTAATACCCCCGGTAGCAAACTTAACACCGCCAGCAGTCCTTCGCTTCTTCCATAAGGCTTGGGCTGCAGTATAAAGATTGCGCAAGTCATCAAGTTGACTTGGAGCAAGGCTCGGTGGTTGCCGTTCTGTGCCGCGTGGCACCTCACCACCGACAACAAGCTTTCTTGTTTTGCTCGGACTGTTGTCACCAAGAAGAGCAGCCACCTCGGATGGCGTGATGCTGACAACATTGTGAACGGTGCCGTGCTGTATCTTCGTTTCCAAGACGGAGCCAGTGCTGTCAATACGGGAACTGAAGGTGATGACAGGGCGGTTCTTGTCAAGACTGAAGTGCCCTTGGGCAGCCCAAGCTGGAAGCATAGGGAAAGATCGCTCTGGCGTATACACGGATTCAGTCATGTGGGCGGCAAGACCAGATAGCGTATGGGTTTTGTCGAAGAATGCTGTTGGATTCGCAACGTGTACATGAATCCAGAATTCAGAAGATGCACCCTTGACTTGTTCGATCGATATGCCGTCATCGATCTCATGGGCGCCGACATCGTCGATGCAGTATACTGTCGTCGATCCCCAATCGTGGCGAAGATGTGCCATTGCATCTCGAAAGTCAGGATTCCTTCGTATAAGCTCAACTTTATTGTTAAGTACTTCCAGGTTGCGAGATTGTCGAACGGTGGGAAGCATCAGCTGCTCGTCATAGATCGCGCGATTGTCGTGGGGCGAGATGACACCGATTTCTTGTAGGAACAGTAGACCAGTACCTTTTTTGATGTTGCTGAGAGTGTCGTCGTGAGTTCCTGTACCGGCGAAGACATCTGAACCGTAGAACCCTGATGACGAGACCAAGCTCGTACAAGCAGATTGAAGACCAGCCATACCCTTGAACTGATCAGTAAGTACCCATGCTTGTAGAAACTTGATGATCTGTTTGTCAGTGTTTGAAAATGTCTCTCCCCAAGTGATGCGCAGATTGGAGGATCCGTCCGGTGGCGAGGAATTCTTGCTAGGTCCAAGACCCCCGTAGGTTGGCTCACGGAACTTTCGACTGTTTGCGATAAGTTTGCGGGCCTTCGCAAGGAAATTCGCAACGTAAGTATAGCCGTCGGTGCGGGCTTGCTGAGCATCCTTGATGGTCTCGAAACTTCTCACAGACAAGGCACGGTATTCGCGATATTCTCGGATCCACTCTTGGACTGCCTCCATGACCTCGACATCAGCCTTGGGTCGGATAGCAAAAATGTTCGTCAGACGGTGGTTGCGAGCATCGGAGTTGAAACGGAATTCATTGTGGTGGAGAGCCTTTCGGACGGCCAGGAGAGCTGCTGGTGAGGATACCCAGGAAGAATCTTGCTTCCCCAGCAGTTTCTTCGCAATCTGTGACAGTGTCATCATACGTGTCTTGGTGTTGTCTGCCAAGACATCGTAGGCCCCGTCCAAAACTGAGGCATTTGTTCTGTAAATCTTCTCGGCTTCTGCTGTCATGTGTTCGAGGGTCGCTACGACCGGAGCGGACAACTCTCTCGGAACGTGGACTTCACCCTTGGGATTGGCTAAGCCAGGATTTGTAGGCAGGAAGGGAACGAGTGGCTCAAGAAGTGCGGGATCGATGCAGCCTTGGATAGCGAAAGACACGCGACCAATCAAGGAATGTGTCCATCGACCATTGACGGAGAAGAATTGACTCTCATTATCCAGTTGCTGCACGAAAACAGCAAGTACGGGTTCACGGCCCGGTTGCGTGAGTTCGACCACATCGCCGGGCTTCAGGAAAAGGCCGATAGTAATGACCTCTTCTGCCTCATCTTCCTCCGCCACATCCCACTCGCTCTCTTTTGCATCCTGGTCGGCCTTGAGAGCGGACGACAACTTTGATAGTCCGTTCTGCGTATTATTGCGTGCGGGGTGATTCTCGAATGCCGTAAGAATTTCTTCTGTCGGTCCACCAAATTGATGTTGCCACCGCTCGAGATGCTCACGGACTGGAATTCCTTGGGGGCGAGCAAGGAGAGACGGATCTGGGGCGGGCGTAGAAGTGGTGGTGGTGAGGGTGGATTGTTGTGAGCGCTGACAGTTGTTAGTCGTTGGTTGTCATACCGGACGTATCACTTACGTTGGCAGCGGCATGGAGCGCCCGCCTCTGCGTTTGTGGGACTTTTACAGTAGAAAGTCCACGAATATTTTGTGTTGAACAGGAACTACTTCGCTGGGCCAGTAGACGCCATTGGCATCGCAGGCATACATTGCCTGCAGCCCGCCCAAGACGAGGATACATTTTGAGGCGAATCGTGAATGATGTCGTCAATCTGAAAAAGTGCCGAGGGAAGGCGCGCTTGAACGGCGGTCTTAGTTCGGACGCTAAGTCGCCGCGCGAATTCACATGTTTCCTCTGCACACCTCCGTCCTTCTTTCTTACACCACACTACGCCCAAGGTATGTACACCGTCTCCTCCTCTTCACCCCCGACTTCATGATGTATTCAAAATTATAGCATGTATTATCCGACGTCGCTTCGGCGAGACTGCGGAACAAATTTTTTCCTGATTGAAATCTTCACATCTCGACTTGTTATCTGTCCATGTTGCGATGCACATCTAACGTGTCTCAACAGGCATCATGGCATCTGCCAAAGCGCCCAAGGGCCACTTCTCTATCCTGTACTTTGCAGCGGCTTCAACCTTCACAGGCAAGACCAGTGAACATTTTCCTGCTCCTGTACGAGCTCGCGATGTCTTCGCTATGCTGGAAGAGAGATACCCGGACATTCGCAACAAGGTGTTGAGCAGCTGTGCTATGACAGTCAACATGGAGTACGTTGATGTCGGGGAAGACGATGCTGAGGACGCAGACAAGCAGATTGTCGAAGGCGACGAGGTCGCCATTATCCCGCCCGTGAGCTCGGGATAGCTCATGGAGTGGTTTATGTAGTATGTAGTCAACGATGTTATGAGCCACGTCCTCCACAATGATAGCGCCTACTGTAGTCGCGCAAATAATGTATGATGCTTAGTGAAGTCACGTCCCATAGCAACTCGGGCGCCCGGTTCGTCCTGCTGC